TTTGTAGATCACGGCCGTTAGCCAATCAAAATCGAGAATCATCCGTGACAAAATTGGTGCGGCAGCTATGTCCAATTTCAATAGGAGTTACTACGCTGCGTATATTTTTCAGAAACGCTATACTGTAACACTTATTGTACTGCATATGTGGTTAAATAATCTTTTTTTCTTCAATTTTTATTAAAAATCAATTTCGGCTAAATTTTGGGTTTCGGCAAGAGTTTCAGGTTTCGGCATGAGTTTCGAATCAGGGTTTCCGACTTTCGGTTTCGTCAAGTTTCGGTCACATGTATAATTTTCAGATCCTTTGTAAACAATATAAAAAATTCGTGTAACATTGTTTTTTCAATAGAAATAAACAACCAATCAAAATAAATTTCTGTCGTGACTATCGCTATTATTTTGGCAAAATAAGCAAAATAGCAATAAGATAGTTCCGGACATTTGCTTCGCCTCTTACTGCGGGGTTTTGTTATATATTATTGTTACCGTTATATATAATCATTTTTTTAGGATTTGACTATATAAACCTTTTTCAAGATGAATCTCTTTTTCCCAAAGCAAAAGCCTAAAGCGAACGCTAAAGATGCTATCGTTCGCCTTAGAGAAACCTTGCAAATGCTGGAAAAGCGAGAAAATCATTTACAAAATAAGATCGATAGTGAACTCAAACTTGCAAAGTCCAATGCAACCACTAACAAAAGAGGTATGCGCAGTAACTTTGGAAAGTCCATTCGAAAATCGCCAAGTACTCTTGAAATAAGCTGAGTTTTTGGCGTTGCACACTTAAACAGTTTATAGTACTTAATTCGCGTGTAGCATATTTGATCAAAATTTGCTCATATAGTACTAGACTTATGTCACTTTATATGTTTCGTGTTTCAATTTTCATATCATTTTATTGTGATTTGTGAAAAGTCTAGAGAACAATGATACTCATTTATTTGACTAACAATTTTAATTTTGTTTACTCCGCAGCTGCTTTGATGGCACTTAAGCGAAAAAAACAATATGAAAGTCAGATTGAAAAGATAGGTGGTTCGCGTATCACAATTGAGGCCCAAGTCATGGCAATTGAAAGTGCAAACGTCAATCTTGAAACTATCAAGGCCATGGAAAGTGGTGCTGAGGCAATGAAAGCAATACATGGATCTATGTACGTCTTTTATATTTTGCAAATCCGTTTACATTTTGTATATGACTATAATGACTGTAAATTTATATATAAATTATTAAATTGTCAAAAACTTCTATTCAAAAAGGGATATAAATAAAGTAGACGACATAATGGACTCTGTCCGGGAGAATATGGATTTGGCCGATGAAATTTCAAATGCGATTTCTGCACCCATGATCGGAGTCGATTTAGATGATGTTTGCATTTTTTTCTTTTCCCTTCCTGATATATACCTATTTGGTTGTTTTTTTTTTTGTTTGTGATGAAATTTAACTTTACCATATTTAAAAATACAGGATGAACTAACTGCCGAATTAGAAGAACTAGAACAGGAAGTTCTTGATAGTCAATTGCTTGAAGTTGAACCTCCTCCCGTTATTGCACCCAACGTACCTACAACCGAACCTGGTAAGAGTTTAATTATGATCATTAAGCATTTATTATAAATATTACAATAAAAATTTCTTTCTTTCTACAGTCCGGCATACAAAAATTCTGGAAGATGAAGATGATGAACTAGAAGAATTAAGGGCAACTATGGCCATGTAACAAAAGGTTCAGAATAAATAACATATTTATTTACATTGAATATACCAACTTTTATATAATAAATTTGCTATTCCACATCCACCTAATTGAGTCACTATATATAGTCCATTATATATATAAATATACTTTATATAACAAACATTTATTTAGATAAACGACTAGAGCTATTCGCATAGGTTGTTACCACCGTAACTTCATCCTTTCGGTGTGACAGATAACTTAATTAAAACCTCTTATTAACATTAATAAAAAAGAGTTTATGAAAAATTGCCTGGTCATATTTCTAACATTTGGTCAAACTTAGAACGCAAATCATTAAGATCATATCGATGATTTTAAATTTAAATTTATGGTCTTACTGGTGTTAGTTACTGTAATTTTCGGCAAATAATACCCGGGTTTCTTACATTCCTATGCCTTAAAAAAATTGATTAGACCCCCAAATTACGATTTAATTTGACAAAATTGACAGTAGGCGGGTAGGAAGGCACTATTTGCCGGGAAATTACGGTACTTTAAAACTTCAAGATTAAATAGCTTTTAATTTACTATATAGTTTATTTTAGGTAATTTTACTACCAAAACGTTCATCTCTTTAAGACAATTCCAAATCAGCCTATATTTTTAAATTATTAATGGTGGTATATTTTACTATGTGATAAAAAACAAACTGAAAATTTTGCCAATGAAAAATTTAACTAGATATAAACACTTAAATATTAACAGATCTACAATGCGAACAACCTTTAGTCCCAACAAATGAAAACTTTTCCAAATTATTATTAACATAGTCAATTTAATATATAGAGTGGCCAAATTTAACATACGTACTGTATAGATCGGCCAAATTTAGTATATTTAAAGCGGCCAAATTGCTTGTTTAATTATAAAATTGTTTTTATTTTAATTCTCTATATAGGACCCTCTATAGCAAAAAGTAGCATTGGACAACCAATCAGATTTTGAGATGTTGTATTAGCTACTTGCTTATAAGGCTTGTTTTTTCTGAAAATAAATTTTTTTTACAAAAATATTAGTAAAATGTATATAAATCTTAAAATTTTATCTTTGTTATTATTAAAGTTAATAACGGATAATACAACATTAATTTCTATACTATATAATTATTTGTTATATATCACATATATATGTATAGTATACGTAGTATTTTTGTTATCAGTTATGCTATAGACGTGTTAACCTGTGTTAATCTGCTTAGTGTGCTTGTATAGATGTTTGTAGATAATTTTTACTAGCTATTTATATTTGTATATAATAAAATAATTTGAATAGCATAGAGTTAACATCTCACTATATTTTATATTCAGATTAATTCGGATATAAAATAAATCCGGATTTAAATTAGGCCATACAAACAAAATTTCTTGGTTTACATAACCTGGCCGGGTCCAAAAGTTGAAAACTATAAATTTTTTTTTTTTTTTTTTTTTTTTTTTTTTAGCCAATAGAAATAAGATCATCAATTCATATCAATAAAATAAACTTAATAAATTAATCATTGTGAAACCAAAATAATTGTTAGTAAAATAAACAAGGCTATTAATTTAGTTTGAGTATAAAGGTGATTTATTAATTGGTGAAATTTAAAAACAGCAAATCATGTTTATAAATACTTACTTATTTATTATTGATTAAAAATTATTTTATTTATCTTAATTTATTGAATATAAAGACAATTTATTAATTTTTTTATTTTTTTTTAATGTTAAAATAACCACTTTGGGTCTGGCATGTTTT